AATTTTATTGGTACGTTACATGACTACGTCATCAACATTGACCCCATATTAACTTTGTAGCGAATGAAATTGCTGTTTTTCTTTGCGATGTATAAACTATTTACTGCAACGCAATATTTACTTGTAGACCACGATTTCATGTTCTAAATTCAAATGTAAATTAATGTAAACTTCTCGTTCTTTTTTTATCTTGACTGAAGACTCTTTCCTTGCGGATCGAAATTTACCGTTAGAATTAAATAAAAAAGGACTTTCTACCTACAATATTATCTATATATTTACTAATTATGACAGACATAGACATATGTATGTATGCATCAATATTTCTCTACTATTGATATATGTGCTACCGATAGCGTCGTGTATCTAAGGCTTACCGCAAGAATACAATGCTACCTTATACGAGTATAACTTTAATTAACCTTATGTTTGCCCCTAAACTTAATTCAAAAGCGTAAGATAAGATTGTATCATGCGCTACTCATCAGATAATGGCTGAGATGATGATAATGATGATGATGATACTCATTAATATGGAATTAACCGCCGCTTGTGTGTAAACTGTTCTAAATTAGGACACATAGAACATTAATTCGCTCTAACTAATTTCAACTGTACAGTACATAGTGTATAGAGAAAATTTTCGAAAGATTGAAAAATTAACCGAAAGTGATTACTAAAATTGTATTATAATGATAACTTGGTATTAATAAAAACTTCTGTAATATCACTTCATATATATGAAAACTATAAACTATGTTTAGATTATAAATGAAAATACATTGTCTTTATCTATTTATGTGTATATATTGCGATATTTAGAGGTTAAAGTAAGCACTGATCATTGTACATTACTTGATTGTCACTTTTCTAATATGCTTTATACAAATAAAAACATTTTACAAAGTCATTTACGTAGCCATACACCTCTCTTCACTAGTATTTCTTTCAACATCAAAGTTCCATTTAAAGTTGTATAAGAAATAAAGAAAATATTTCTTATCATCACACACACGTACAAATATTTTATACGTAAATCGTGGAGTCGCAAATAAAACAACAGTTTCAAAGTCGTTGTATATTGTGAGGTGCTTGGCGTTACAAGAACATGAAACAAGACGAAAGTCTCGTAAGTTTGTTAAGAACTAGTTTTGGTTCCAGAAACTTCCACAGCTATCTGGACAGCAAAAATGTACAGTCTCCTTATTGGCGTATAATAAAATACGGTTTTAATAATCCTCGGCTTGTTTTCTTTTCTCAGAGTGCATAATAATATTATTATTAGAATAGGTATTAATCTCATTGTTTTCTAGAAACAAAAATGTACAATGTACAAATGTACGTCTTATTGGTGTCCAATAACAATATTATTGGGTAAATAATTTATTTCCTCATATTCCTTTTTAGAAACAATTTTGTGGTGGTACTCAGTGTTGATGAATTAAAATAAAATTATCTAAATGGTTCCATTATGAACCATATTGAATTTTATTTATTTTATATTTATATAAATTATATTACTATATTTAATATTTATATTTTATTGAGTTTAAGAGAGCGATTGAATAATGTTGGCGGGACGAATTATTACCACGATACCAGATAAATCAGTGTTTCCCAAACTTTTTTCTGCCATGCCCCACATGAACGTTTCTAAAATTTTTATGCCCCCATATATAATTTTTCCCGACAAAGTTTACTTGACGGCTATAATCGCCCAGTTGATATTTTGGTAACGTCAAACGAAATTATACCTAATAAATATTTACAATATTTTTTTAATTTGACACCGATATCTACTCTAGCATTCTAGCATTGCATTTAAATGGCCCAAAGCAAGAGGGTTAAAATCGCTTCGAGTTCATTTTTTAATTGCTCCCCCCCCCTCCGCCCCAACCCTTAACTATCAGATTGCCCCCCTGTGAGGCGTGGGCCCCACGTTGGGAAACACCGAGATAGATAATGATGTATTTTAACTAATTAACAACTGACAATTAATATGAGATAAATATGAATATATACACTAATAGCATACAAAAAATTTTAGAAATGGTGGTGCGATACATTAACCCAGTACGTGCAGTACTAAATTAAGATTTAATAAATTTCTTATTAGGCAATCTACTTCTTTATGCAAATTAGAATGGCAAATTAGCTGACAGCCTACTTGATGGAAAGTGGTGGAAACTTTCTTTCTGCACTGCACATGTTGATATTAATATACAACAAATATTTATATATCTTTAAAAAAAATTTACATTTATAATTTTAGTAGGATTCCTACATACGTTTATTGGAGAAAAATGTTGACTTTCATGAATACTATTATGTGGGTTTAGAAATTTATATACTTTTCCTTAAACACTATCATGTTTTATTTGTTTCCCATTACACATCCCAAAATTCCTATATACAATAAGATCCGGTTTTCTCTCTTGTCTCTTTAAGTCGCAACTAATATACACTTATTTTTTAGAAATAACCCGGATACAAGCCTGCGCCGCAATTTTATCCTGGTGAAATATTGGAAGAATTTCGGACTACGAAGCGGACATTCTCGTAGGAGCACAATACATTATTTATAGATGGAAACATGAGAAAATAAGGGTACTTTGGTTTCTTTCCTCTTGATATCTATCAATGGTATTTTATTAGGTTTTATTTTATCTATAACAAACATAATAACTAACGTTTCCTGTACATGAAAGACAATTCACTAACAACATTTTACCTCAATAAAATACAGACAGAAATGTATTTACTGAGAATGGACGGCAATGATATTCGGATGAATGTGGCTAAATTTATCTGGATATTTATAGAAACCTATGGCCTTAATGATTTAATATTTATTTATTTTTTTATAAAAAATACACAATTAATACAATCATAAACTTTCAAAAACTGATTTAAGAAAAGTTTATTTTTATGACTAAGTCACTGTTTCTTATTGCTTGTTATTTTGGACTATTTATGACTTGAGTTAAAGCATAAATTATTATCGTATCAGCCGTTAACTGTTCATTGCTGAGCCTCCCCAATACGAAGGGTTTTGCCAATAGTTGCCCCTATTGGCAGGCGAGTTGACAACTACAGTTTGGCTTTTGGTAATGTTTTTAAAGGGACGCTGCTGTCTATCCAACGACCATAAACTCCCTTAGTCGCCTCTTATGACACCCACGGGAAAGGAATTGGTAGCCTATTCTATGCCGGGACTTGCGTTTTAAATTTATTATTATTTCAGATTAAATATAAACCTATGAAATATTATTATTCTTATTTATTTACCGCAAAGATGACCATAATAGCGCAGGTTTAAATAGATATTGGCTTAATTCAAATAAAAATACAGGTCGGTTTGAATAACTAGCTTTAAGATAAGGCGAGAAAAAGAGATTTTATAATGTAAGGTTCGAGAAAAATTATGAATTATCCATTCTACTTATGGAGTTTCTATAAACTACAAAACATGCTATAAAGGCACAATCAATCACGATCCTCTCGGTATTAAACAAAAAAGTAAAAACTGGTACATCAAGAATGTAGTGATCAAAAAGAAGAATACATTCAATAAATGATGGAGACAAAAAAGTCTGTATTAGTTTATACATTCTTTTGCTCTTACATGTAAGTGTAGAGAAATATGTTATAAGGACATGACTTTATATTGTCATTATAAATTCAATATACCTCGTTACAATGATATTAAATATTTTAAAATATAATGCCACAAAAACAATGTCAATATAAAATTGTCACAGCGTTACTATATACCACAACCTCGAAAAAGATCTAAAATACACAGGCTCATCGCAAACCGTGACCGCATCGCGACTACCTGCACCCCTTTGTAACGGATGTGTAAATTTATCTCCCTCATTCTAGAATCGCAGTAAAAAATGTACCTTTATGTCTCACGGTATATATAAATTTATCATAAGTTTATAGAGAATACAAAAAGAACTCAAAATCTTCTACATTCGCTTTATGTATACAATGTTATACGATTTATGACAAATCAACCAATTGATTAATATTTTTATAATATGTGTAATATTATAAAAAAGCGACAGCTAAATAAACCCAATCGATTACGAAAAGAATAATCAAAATTGATTCATAATTGGTGATAATAACAAGTAATGTACCCAAAAAAATTGTATAATCGAATTAAGAACAATCTCCTTTTAAAAACTCTTAAAAATTCACCTTTAATTCAAATCGTAAACACGATAAGAAGCGCCGATTTGCTCCCTGTTTTAGATATTCTTTTTACAATCACCGTAATACGACGGAGTTCGATTTCCGAGCTTCTAACGTCTTTTGAATATTTTAAAGGAGACCCGAATAATCGTAAACAATCGCAAATTTCTGAGGGCACGAATCGTAAACAGGCAGCCATCTGTTTGTCCCGCCCTACGTGATTCGGATTTCGGTAAACGAGTTTTAAAACTCGAACAATTTATTCATTTGCTATTATTAATCCTGGCAACTTCTCAGTTTATTCTTTGAAATTGTTGATAATATTGACAATCTATGCAAATAAAATAAAAAAAGAATAAAAGACAACGCAAAATGTGATAGCATATAAATACCAACATCTATAATTTGATTTGAAAAAATTACCGATAATAAAGTCTTTATTGCACCTGAATAAAAAACGTAATATTGTAATCTAATATCCTGTATATAGTAGAAAGAACAAATACTATCCTCAATGTACTTGTATAGAGTTTTCTGTATTTTTCAAATAAAATCATGGACATATACATTTATTATCTGTGTTCAAGATTTAATTAAGTAGTTTGTTATTGCTAATAATCATTAATTAAATATTTCTTTATACTGTAGACTGGAATCAGATATTAAATATTCTAGAAAACTAAGAAACTTAATACAAAACTATGTCGTCTAAATTTTAATTGCTAAAATTTATACAATATACTATAATTTAATATGCTATAGAAGTTGATACAAATAATAAATTATCTTTATTTCAGATTTACAATGGAAGTCAAGATCGAAAGGCATCACATGTCCTAAATAAATAGGTATCATACAAGGGTTTCCCGTACAAAGCAACATCATGTCAGGGTAAGAAAAACAAATATACTTACATATTATCTTATTTGCAAAATAAATTAACAAACTCCGAATTCATTTTCATAAATGACAACGTTTAATTTATCAAACGAAGAAAAATGTTATTAAAAAAACCGTCACAAAGATAACACTTCAGAACACAGAAAAAATGCAAACAATGCAATGAACTAAATGCACTCAAAGATTATACAATGCTGGAAACTGTTATTTATTTGCATTAGCAATTTTATAACGTACATATTTAATAACATCCATTAAAAATATAAAAATTATAAATATAAAAAAAAATGTAAAGAAATGGAAGTGACTTCAAATAATTTAATTCCACGAAAATTGCAAAGAAGTTTACAACCAGCTAAATCGTAAACAAATTCTGCAGCACGTCCAATTACTCGTATCATAAACACGATGGCAACCGTTTAAAAACGTTTAGTTCCACTGTATTTCTGCCGATTGTAATCAATTATTCTGTCGGTTCTCATAAAATCTACCCACACTTGTAGCACAATTTATACGGAACGCTTATTTAAGGAAAACATAAATCCTTCGGGAGGGAAAATCTAAAATTCATACGAGTGAAACCCTAGTGTGGTGCGCTATAATCGAGAATTATCTGAAAGGTATCTCGTAATAATGACACTATATGTTTATCCTCTAATACAAAGTGCTAGCACTTTCTAAACATCTTATGTCTACAACTAGTTTTACAGAAATGTCTAGAAAAAGCAATGCGTTCTAAATAGTCAGATTATCATTCGGGATATGTCAAATGTCACTAGTTCTTTCTTACATTATGGTAGTATTTATATTATAGGATTTAACATTTATGTATACAAAGCTATCAATCAAAATAGTATTGTCATGCAATGATATTCTTCTCTAAAACTACTTTTTAGACTTTTTTAGACTTTGTTTGACTCATAAAAGCCAATTTTAATCTTAACAAAATTAATATGAAACAAATACGATAATAAATCTTTTTGATAAAAAAAATGCAGTCGAACGGAGAACCTTCACTTTTTTAATCGGTCAAAAATATTTTTAAAATAATTTACTAAAATGACAAGATTAAAAAAAAAAAAATATATATATATATATATATATATATTGTTTTTAAGAACTTATACAACAATAATAAATATTCATAATAAACACGAAGCAACAAACCGTATAAAATAGCATTCACTGCTAACGAGTATCTTCAACATTCAGAACATAATAGCCACAAGGAACGTTTCCACTGAATATAACAATAATATAATGTCACTACTGAAGTACAATTTGGTAAGCTTCTATTCCCTTTACACCACTAATACGAAAGGTCAACACATAAAATTTACAATCCTAGTTACTATATATGGTATAGTGTTTTTATAAAGAGGTAAACTGTCAGTGGGGAAGAAGGAAGTGTTAGTAGTGCGGAGTACCAGTCCCATTGCTAGCAATATAGCCTGTCAGGTCCACCTCAGAGTGGTTCCCCTGGAAACCGTCGTGCTAAATTCCAGGTGTATTTATTACCATGAGCTAATTAACCTGCTTTCATCCTCACCTATTATCGCTCACTGGTGCCACGCCAACGTATATCGATAGAGCAGGCGGGGTTACCACTCCATTATCCTACATTAAATTAAACCGTCGATGTAATGATCAAGTCCATATTATTGGATTAATTACTCCTTGCTAATATTATGGTATACGTAAATATGAAAATAAGTTTGTTCGTTCCTTAATAGCTCGACCAATCGTTTTAAAGTTTGGTATAAGTATTGGCGTGAATTTACAGGGTACAGAGGAATAACACCTGAGTCCTCAGGAATGGCAATGCATGGGGGGTTATCATGGGCGAAACAGTATACTCTGTTATGTCCATTGTACTACTCATGTCTATAGGTGACTGTTACCACTTTCCATCAGGTGGGCCGTCAGCTTTTTTGCCATTCTAAGTAGTATAAAAAAAAAAGTACACGTAATGTTTAGAATAAACAAGGACACTATTAAATACTATTGATATTGGAACAAATATGAGAAAATTGAACAACTGTAAATATTTAAAAAACATTAAATTAAAAATAATTGTATTCAATCTCACCTATTTCTTAGTATACATAGTAATATGGATTAATATTGTACACATAGTCTACTTTTATTCTATTCAATAAAAATAAACCAGTCTTGCGAATGAAATCATGTGTAAAAACTATTTAACAACAAATACCTCTGACAGCCTCATTTGAGATTATAGTCGTGAATATATTTATGTAATCCAAGCGACTCGGAACACTCTTCATTCTATATTAATCTTGCTCCATGTTTGGAGAGACCCCGAGGGATCCCTACTAATTCCGCACATTAGCCGTTACAAGCAAAGATTGATGGATGATGGCACATTCGTGTTCTTTTACGGTAACAAAAAAAAATACAGAGAACACCAGCTGTTCTCTTAATAGAATACTGAATCACTGGATATACGTGTTAAGTTCATATATCATGACACGTCAATTAATTGGTGAAATTAGTCTATACTAACAAATGAAAGAATGAATGAATGAGTATATTTTATTTGTATTATACAATATAGAAAATAAACAAGACAATTAATAAATATAACGATACTATTGTATAAGAACAGTAAGACGGTCTTATTACTAAGAGCAATCTTTTCAAGACAACATTAGGATAATGGACTAATTGTTGTAAAGTAGGTATTGTATAATTAAGAAAATTAACAGAATAAAACATTAAGGAAAATAATTATAAGTTAAGTACATATAAGTATAATAATCAAATTTAAAAAAATAAAATAAAGTGATTAACTATTTATAATATATAATGCCAGACATGTTAAATTTGTACCTATTACTAGAACATATAGATAATTATATGCATAAAAATTACAAACTTTACTTCCCTCTAATATTAGAGACAAATAAAGTTTGTGAGTTTGAATGTTCAAAATAATCTCCAGTGTTACTGATCCGATTTTAATTTTTTTTTCTCTGTTTGATAAGTATATTATTCCTGAATATTATAGACTTTTTATTTTGGTAATATTTTAAATATTTAATTACAATAAATGTATTTAAAGTATATAATAAGACGTGCGCTCGCTGCCTGAGCGGTTTGAAATAAAGGAATAAAATCTATAGCAAAAATATTCAGTATATTTAGATTTAGCTTGACAAAAAAGTTCGCGACATCATATATCTAAATTTAATTTAATTTAATAACAATATCTCAGCCAAAACATTTTTTGGCTGAGATATTGTTATGTTAAAAGTAAAATATTTTTTATATTCTCTAAGATTTTAAAATGAAAAGCTTTGTCAAAGTACTGCATTAATGCACACACTAGCCATACTATATGTGTTTAAAAGTTACGCAAACAAATATTGCACCCACGCGAAGCTGGGGTCGCTAATATATATATACATATATATATACACATATTGTATTTGTATTTATACCGTTCACGTCTGTAGGCGACGGGTACCTCTTTCCATCAGAAGAGCCATCAGCTTGTATTCTGTAATGAATTACATAAAAAAGTAAGTACCTAATTTATTATTTCATTTATTTTATTAATATAAAATATGCTCGTTTCCACTTTATGCCACTACTTTAATTAACATCATATTCACGCTTATTAAAATGAATGTAATAAAAGAAAAGAATAAAACGGTTTGTTCTTTGGTCATAGAATGTTATTTTAAAAAATATACATCCAGAGACTGGCTATTTTAATTTTCGTAAATTAATTATTTAAAATTTTGAAACTTGCTAATTGGCACAAATATATCCTATGAAATAAAGTAATACTGTCCAGAGTTTAAAAGTTTTATGTTTAGAAATACTATAAATTAAAGAAAATGTTTGCTACATTTTCCTAGAAATAAAGACATTCGTATTTCCACGCTAACTCGTTGCATTCGAGAATCATGTACAAAATAGATCGGACACGCCACTTTGAGAAACTACGAAATGTATGTATCTCGGATTTCACTATATAAAAAAAAACAATATTACTTATGTACAATTCAGTTTTTAAGAAACTTCCAAAAAAAGTTCTCAATTTGTTTTCGTTTTTACTTGTTTATTATGTCACTAATCGCCAGTTTAAAACCAATTTTGATATTTATTTTTCGTCACTAGAGTATATACTATACTATATACTCTGTTGGTTTTACATTAATTTAGAGACGATTGAAGATACAGTTATTTCTAAAAAATTTTGAAGCAAAATATTTCTAAAAACTTTGGTAGCTCTAAACATGATTTTATTTAGCAATAAATTACAAATAAGCATCTTGATCCTTTATTAACCTAACGGAACGTTAAATACATCGACTATGACATTTTTACAATCAATGAACTGTTTTAAGCGATTAGCTTTATAATTATTTTAGTCGACTTTACTCACGTTTTTAATATCCCGTAATAAGAAAGAATGCCGTGTAGTTTGGCGTAGCATGGGCAATTCCAATTGTGACTTCCTTTCCCGTAGGTGTCGTGAAAGGCAACTAAAAGATTTAATTAAATGGTCTAAGGATGAGAAGCAGGATCCCTCTAAAAACATCACCAAAGCCTAACTGCAGTTTCCAACTCGTCTGCCAAGCGTGGCAACTACTAGCAAAACTCACCACAGAGGAGGCTTATCTGCAGCAGTGAACAATTAACGGCTACTATAAATGATGATGATGAAGATGAAGATAAAAACACTTTTTTGAGTGTATTTTCCATTACAAATAACAAGAGATTGTGTCCAGTAAAAAAACCGACTACAGTTATGGCAAAATCAGTTATATTGATTATAAAATTAAATTACTGACAAATTTCGATAAAATGTCTTTAGAATCAAACTGAAAGTGTATTCTTTCAAATAAAAAAATATTCTAAATCGGTTTACAAACCTACAGCGTTATGAAGTACCAAAAATATAAAAAGATACTACTAAATTTAAACCCTTCTTCTTTTTGAAGTCAGTTAAAAATGAA